ACGTCAAGAGCTGCTAGTGGGGAATTTCCATTCAGCATAGCTGGCTATAGACATAGGGAGGCTTTAAAGTGCACACTAACACAAAGAGACAGAAAATATAGGAGAACTAATACAACCTAACCACATAATCTCCAGAGGCATTCATTCTGAAGAACAATACTTTGTCAGGGTTTCCTGAAAACAGTTAAGTGATCCATAGCTTGCTGCTCTCCCCCTCCCACCTCTACATTACTGGTAGCCACAAGGCAGCTTAGCAGACTCCTTTCACATGATTCTTCTTTTTGGCATGAAATATCTAGTTCACTAGAGTATTCTAATAAGGGGAAAAAAATTAACCCTCTATATGGTGCAGTGAACAAGGAAACACTTCTACCACATATGATTAAAGACCTATCAGGATAAAATGCAATGTTACAAAATGCAATGCTACATACACTGTTACCAATGTGACATTACATAAGTGACAACAAACTTACCAAGTAAAATTATCATTCCACATATCGGTTGGACATACAAAGGGCTGAAGTATAAGAAGAATGGCTGTAGTAACAATGAAGTTAAACTGATCAGACATGGGTGGAAACTAGACCACTTCATGGTCAAAACCAGAAAAGTGTCCCAAACTTGCAGTATTCTTCTCATGGTACTTGATCCAGTGGGTACTTCCTGAAGAATTATTTTCTTATTTTGAAAGCACTGAGAGATGGAGCTATCAGAAGTTGTGCTTTCTATTAACCAACAAAGGAAATGAAGTTGTAATCAAGTGAAAGTGAGAGCTAACAACCTGAATAGTTACATTTGTAGTTCGTCACTGTCTGGAGATGACACAAATCTCAAACAAAAACTTGGATAAAACACAGTGAGAGTTGCCTTTCAAGGGGTCCTGAGTCAAGGCTTTAGGAAATTTCTTCTTTATGAATTAAGTTTAATTTAGATGAGTGATCTAAGAAAAGTTCACTGAGGAGAGTGAATAATGGGTGGAAACCGATAAAGATGTAAGATCAGACAAAAGTGTAAAGAAAACTGTGAGGAAATCCCTGCACAGTTATATAGAAACACATAGCAAAAATAACTAAGAATCTCTGAGAACACTGCTGATAAATATTTGAATACAAAAAGGAAAGATGAAATGTAGGGATACATACAGTAAGGTTACAAAAACATGCAATTTTCCTATGGTAAATTTACTACTGAACATCCTCGACTAACAATAGGATTGTGGTTCATGGTAAATTTACCACTACATTTTTGGTGACCTCAGCTCAAAGCTATCAATCTAAGAATAAGGGAAGCGTAAGCGTTTTAGAAGAATTTTGTGTGCAACTTGAAAAAGCCAAGATGAATGTAAAGATAAGAATGCATTCCTAAGAAGACAGAGCTGGAAAGCCACATAGCAGTTGGCCAGAGATCTCTTTCAGCAGAAGGTTCAAAATATCAGGACATATCCTTTGATTATTTAGAAAATGTAATTAACAATTTGATTGAATTGTTAAGGCAAGACAGGAATTTCAGAGCCATCTTCAAAGCAATTATTTCTTCCTCAGATAAGAAGCTATTGGATATAGTGTGTTTGAATGTCAATTAATCAGCTTAATACCATGTAGTAAAACACAAAAATAGTGAAAAACTGCCCACCAGATAAACTTCATCACATGGCACAGAAAGCTTGTTAAGCAGGTGGTGAATAGAGTGTTCACAAAAAGTCCAATTCTTTGTCCCATTCTGGTTTGAGCAGTACTTGCAATTTTCATCACACTGAATGATGTCAGTAGCACAATTTGCATAAGCACAAACTGCTATAATGTATCCAGAATTCAGGCTGAAGATATGATGACCCAGTGGGGAAGAATAAGGAGCAATGCAATCAAAATCAACCCAGGGACTTATATCGCACACCGTATATTGTCTATCAGCCACATTCAGGCCAGTTCAAATAATCTGTAGAGGTGGATATCTCACAGACAGTCCAAACAGGGATTTATTATAAGAATGTTTTCATTTGTTCCATAATGAGGTGATAAATACAGAACACGTATACAACCCACAGCTAGAACTAAATCAGAGGGACACCGAGCACTTCGTGGGTCAGAATGAAATTCAAAATTATTTTGATATATTGTAGGAATGAAATGAAATTTTAAAAATAGCACTGTGTACAGAACCATGAAAAATAAAAGCTGTTTGCACAAAACACAGAGTAGTAGGCTAGGGGATTAAAAAGTGAGTAGGAGTTTAAATTACAATGTTGATACAAAACAAACCAAACATAATTCTGGGACCTATTAACAGAAGTGTGATACATGTGGGCTACAGGAAGTAACAATGTCATTTCCAATGTCAGAAGAGAAGCCTCAAATGGATAATTATGTTGTTTGGGGTCCCATGGTTGAAGAAAGCTGTAGACAAACTGGAAAGAGGCCAACAGCAGGAAGCAAGTATGATAAGTGGGTTGAAAAACTTGAGCCATGGAGTTGAGATGGTTTGTTTAGTCTAGCAAATGGAAGATTGGTGGGAGACAGAACAGTCTGTAAATGTATAAAATGCCAGTAAGAACAGTGGGAAATTTCTTCTGTAAATGCTAAGAGTTGTGCAACAGTGAGGGACTGAAACTGTAGGTACAGGACATGAAATCTGGACTTAGCAAAACAGTATAAAGTCAGAGGAATAGTAGTGTCACTCGAACATGAATACAGAAATAGTAAAGTACTGCAGGTTAATAATTTTTGTATCAAAACTGGCACGGGGATGGATGGTAATGGGTAGATGCTAATTGCAGCAGTCCTACAAGTATATAATAGACTTCTAGATTCAATTAGCCCTGAATGTGACCAGGGATGTTTCTGCTGCTAGTGATCACAAAATGTAGCTGAGAATTATGCTAGTATGAAGGATACTGACATTTGGACTAGGGGCTGGAGAATAAAACCAACAATAATTCATATGACCTCAGTGTTCCTGAACATGAAGGTCAACACTTTTTTCATTAGCTATTCAGACGACTATAAATTAATAAAAATTTTAACATGGGCAACGAGGAAGTTATAAAATGACTGGTCATAGAAAATAAGCTTGGATGGCATGATCATGGGTAGGCTCTAAATTAAACAGGCGTGTAAACAAATGCATATAAACCAAAATTCATGATTTTGGAGGGACACATTTTGGTAAATTAAGGGAATTCTCAGCTGGTCTGAGAAACTCTGGAACCAGCAGGTTCCAGGGACCTGGAATGTATCCTGCCAATGGTGCAAAACATAGCAGGAATCTTTATCCTAAGAGCAGAGAAGAAAACTGTGCAGAATAAGCTTAAGAAAAACTGGATTAGTATCTATCTTTAAAATATATATTTCAAATAAGTAGACATTTTACAAAATAATAGGCAAAAGTACAGAGAAGCAAAAGAAGTTTTATCTCAAAATCAAGAAGTTTAGAGTAATAATTAAATGTTGAATAGAGTCTGGAAGGAAATTACTTTCAGGAATAAGGCTTGAAATCAATCTTGCTTAATATATTCATGATAACTTGACACAAAATACAGGGGCTTTCTGATGAAAGCTGCAAATAACAAAAAAAATTAAAGACATTAACAGGAAAGAATGGGGATATCATACAGGGGAAGCTGGATCACTTTGAGTCTGGAGTAATACAAATGGGACAAAATTGAATAGGATAAAACATCTAAGTCATGCACTTGGATGCTAAAAAAGAAGGTCCTCCCAGAAACTAGAAACTCTACGTTTGGAAACAACTACGGAAGAGAAATACTGAGATATAAAGGGTTATTCCAAAATTATTAGGAGTTTCTAATGGGGCACAGCTGTGAATAAGGCAAATGCTCTTCTGTGACACACCAAAAGAGGTATTTCTAACAAAAAAAATAGGGAAGAGCTAGCATCACTGAACAAAGACCTGGCAAAAACATCTGTGTATGACTAGGTACAATTTTAATCACCCCTCTCCAAGGATACACAGCTAAAACACAAAGGAGGAGGGTTAGTGGGTTCATGAGAGAAATATAAAGAATATTTTACAAGGAAAACTTAAAAGAACTTGATTGATTAGAGCGGCAAGAGAACAGCTCAGAAGGGATATGATGATTGTTTATAAATACATCTGAAGAACAAGCACCAGTTGGAGGAAAGGAGTATTTGATCTAAATAATAATGCTGGCACAGAAACAAAGGTACATAAATCAGCCATGAGAATGAATAGAAATTAGAGACACTAATCATTAAAACAAACAAATTCTTGAACAGCCTTCCTTTTGGAGTAATGGGGACAAAAAGACTAATTGTTTTTAGTGGACACAGTAAGTTTATGAAAGGGATCATGTAACATAGCTGCAAGTGATTGCAGAGACTGAATTGGATGATCTAGGAAGACTTTTCCAGTCCTGTGTTTCTACCTTGTTATAAAAAATTATTAATTCTTTTTCTCTATTTCCACCAAGTTAGGATATAAAATGCTCAGTTTCATTTGCAGGTTGGAGAGCAATGTCAACTTTCTATTAAGACACTGAAGCACTGGAGCAAACTAGCTAAGAAAGTTTGCAAGAGCCGCTTGAGCAAATATTTGACATGGCTTTTCTAGGTGCACTTGGACAGGGTTACAGCAGTGGGTTGATTTATTGAGGTCCTTTCCAACTCTAAATTTCTATGAAAAAATGTAGGCTCGTATCTTCCTGGGCTCTGGCTTAGCAAAACAGCAAAAAAAACAAGTTATTTCTGAGAAAGCTGTTGAGTAATTTACACTCCGTAACTTTTGGAGATATTTTCAGTGGTACATTATTTATTATTTTTCCACTGTTCAAAGCATTCTAGGAAATTTATAAAGCAAACCCAATCCCTAGAGGAGATTGGAAGCTTTTGGCTTTCATACCTGGGACTCTTGTATAAACAAAACAAAACACCATTATTGTAGTTGGCCTTTGCTAGCAGAGAAAATGCAGTTTGGTGTGAGCTCCATTGTCAAATGTTTTTCTTCTCTGAACTCCCTCGCAGAGTGGCAACAGGATTCTGTGTTCCATCATTCTGGACCACTACCAGGGACCATCAATAATAAACTATGATGACGAGAATGGCAAAACATGTATGCACATCGCTGCTGCTGCAGGCTACAGTGACATTATCAGTGAGCTGGCTAAAGTCCCGGAGTGCAACCTGCAGGCCCTTGATGTAGATGACAGGTAACCATGGAAACCTTGAAACTGAAATTGCTGCTTCCTTTCTATTAACCTGAGACTTGCTCTGTTTATTCTATAATCGCGTTTCCTGTTCCACAAGCCATGGCCTAGTTAATGAGCTGCACTTAGAGAGAACCGTGCTTGCTCAGAAACACCACAAAGCAATCCAGCTCCCATGTATCATGTCTAGTATAACGACTGACTAGTAGGAATGTTATTTAACTTTGTTTTTCTGGTAGGAAATGATAAGACTATGTGTGAAAGGGCTTTATCACCACTTGACTTAACTACTTTCAATCAAAAGTGAACATTCTTTTCAAAACAATAGAACAGGATCCCACAACTTTGCAGCTGGGATCCTGCTGCTATTTGTAGTTAAGAAATGGCAATGTTCCCTTGTTGCATTTAAGATGCAAACACAGTGCTCCTATAGGGCCAGAGGACCTTCACTTTCCATTCTGACAAGGCATTTGATTCCTTCCAGGATTAAATCCCTATGTCATAAGTGCAGAAAAGTCTTCTTTCCTCTTTTTTCACCCTACACTTACCTCCCTGGGAAATTTGCTCTCGAATTTATTTAATGCAAACAGAACTGACTGACTGTTCGCATTGATTATAACTCTGTTCAGTGGAGCAAAAGCCAAGATTTTCTTGGCTTATGCCTTCAGGTACTTAGAATAATAGCATTCTTCATGGAAAAGTGCAATAAAATGGAATAGAAATAAAACCAACAGGGTTCTGGAGAAGTTGCTAAACATCAGTAAAATGTACTTAAGAAAGCTGTGTTTCTATGGAAAGAAAGGAAAAGGGAGGAGTTTAACTACACTTAAAAGCTCAGTAAGACATGACCTCCTATTACACAGTTGCAGATATTTCCATAGAAGGTATTATACTTGAAGAGGGGAAAAGATAAGCTCTCCACTATAAACACACAGTAGATTTCCATTCTGTTGTGTTTCTTAACGCACTCATCTTAAATCGCTAGGATTGCAAAGACACAAGGAAGAGAAAAGTCAGTTTTATTTTTTATTCTTGCAGTTTTCCTACGGTGTTTTCTGTGCTTTCAGAATTCTCACAAGAGCAAAATATTACTATTTGGAAACTGGGCAAGTTTCCAAAGACAAGATGCAAATCTTCTGCCAAGCAGAAAATCAGTTTGATTCTCAAGACAATTATGTCTGCTGCAGTCTGTGCCCGCCAAAGAACACAGAAACTGGAAAAGGGGCAGTGACGGTCTGGTAGATGTGTCCGGTCCTTCTCAACCAACTGAGGGAGGCTTCTTTTCCTATTACCTTCATGGGGAGCCGTGAGCCAACCTTTGCTGACTGTGTCTGGTGTAAAGATGGGAAGAGTTTGTCCCTGTGCAGTGAACACTACAAAGGTTTTTTTCAAATTCTGCTCTGAAAACCTCAGACACTCTTCCCACTCTGTAACTCAGGCAGCGGACAAGGTGCTATTATATAGCATGTACAGGCATTCTGCAGCCCCGTATCTACTTTCTCTACAGCTAAATAGATGCGCATGGATGCCAGTTTGTGGCCTTATTACCACGACTGACAGCTACATCAGTGTGGGATAAGCTGCTGGAGTTTCCTTAAAGTGGATGTCGGGAATCTGGACAAGCAGCATAGGAGCACACCTCCTCATGTCATTTCCATAGTAAATTTATTCTTCTATTTTAATGATACTGCCCCTTTTCTGTAGGACGCCTTTGCACTGGGCTGCAGCAGCAGGGAAAGCTGACTGCGTGCAGACACTGCTGCAGCTGGGGATAGACAGCAGCCCCCGAGACATCAATGAAAACACTCCTCTGACATATGCAATGTACTGCGGGCACACAGCATGCATCAAGCTGCTGTCCCAGGAGAGCAGGTAAAGCAAAAGTTTGCATCTTGCTCACATGTTGCCACTGCCTAGAAAACAAATCTATTGCTCTTTGTACACTACTGAAGGGTTTGAGCCCTGGGTGATGTCTCCTCGGTTTATATGCAATACCCACTTCAAGTTTTTCATCAAAATAGCAGTGTTATAATTAGTCATCTACTGAAGACTCATCACTGTGGTTACAGTGCTAGTCTGCCGATCAGCAGAGGGTTCTGAACTAAGAATATGCAAGTAGAGATCATGCTCAGTCACCTTTGTGCAGAGAATTCTTACAGAATAATTTCAGACCTGAGATACATGCCTTCCACTTTTTTGAAACCCCTATGCACTAGCTGTGTGTTTATGTCATCAGACAGAGGGTTACACTGAACACAAAAACAGTGTTTGTTAAAATAAAATAAATTTCAAGTTTTCATCCTCAGGGTAAGGGTTTTGGAGTGTTTTCCTACCTTGATTGTGTCATCTGAGTTTTTTTCTGTTAAAAAGTATAATTCTATTACTATTGCTTATGATCTTCCTCCCTCTTTTTATGTCTCATGTTTCAGCAGTTGTCGTTTAATTAATTTCAGTTATTCAACTTTGGTAAATGAGCATGCACTTACGACAATATTCATCGTCACATTTCTTTGTGCTTTCCCTTCCTTTCCAGTCAGCAGTTAGTATTATTTCCTGTGTTACAAACTGTGAGACATGGTTAACGTTACCTCTCCTCCCTCTTCCTCCTCCTGCACTCTGCCTGTCCGAGTAGGTGTGAAATGTTGATAAGTTAATTAAAAACCACCACAGCAGCACCACTCATTATTTTGATAGGTCTGAAACTGTGCCAGGCCTCTTTAGTACAAGCAAGGCAAGGGGACAAGGGAAGGTGAAGAGGAGGGGAAGGGCAGAGGGAGAGGGAGAGAGAAAGGGAAAGAAAAAGGGCAAGGGAAGGAATGGTGCCTTTGTTACAGTGTCAGCAATGACTGTGCTGTTGGAAATACCGTTTCCCAGATATGACATAATACAAAGACCACTTGGTTTTAAAGATCCCAGCATGTTCTTCTTATTATTATTGGATCTTGCCTCACCATTAAGAATAATGATCTTGCAGCTGGTAGATGCTGAAGCCAGAAAAGTTTGTTTGGGTTTTTCTTTTCCTGTGAGCTGCACTGAGCCTAGATTAAGATGAGTGTAATGCAGTCAATCCCACAAGAAAGCATGAAGTAACATGGTATCATTTTCAGCCCTTGATAATTACAAATTTGGAGTTCGAATTTTCTGCCTCCTTGAACGCCACCTGCAAACATATCTGAACAGTATATGCCCCATTTCATGGGCTAATACAAGCAGTATTTTTTCATTATTTGATAATAATGACATCACATTTTGATTTGTACTTCCAGTAGATCTGATCCAGTTCATCAGTTTCCCTCCCAGAACAACAGACTCCTAAAGAAACAGGGACGACTCAGTATGCTGAACCACATTTTCTCTTGCAAAAAGAAGAAAGATGATCAGAAAACCTGTCAGGAGAGCAGAGACCGATATCCTGGAGAAGAGACCTCTGAAGTAGATGACATCATCACCACGTTTGATTGCATTATGGACACAAACTGCAAAGACATTCCAGATGAGTGTGTGACTACTGCTGACTTTAAAAGAAGGAGTACAAACACAAAGTACCTCATAGCAGAAAAGAAGCAAACAGAATGTCAGGGACTTCTGCCTGTCAGAACCCAGAGCCTCCCCCCAATCACTGTGGGCAATTCCTTCCTAACTGCTTCCCAGAGCATAACGTCAAGCTTCTCCTCCAGCACCAGCACTCATCATTTTGCACACAAGTCTCAAAAGAGTAGGAGCGAACACAACTTGCTGGACCACAGAAGCAGCTGCCAGGCTTTGCTGAATGATCCCTGGAACAGAGACTCTAACCAACTACTCTCCTATAAAGTGTGTACTAGAACTCTTTCAGACAAACTGATAAATGGCTTAAACTCTGATAGATCTCACCATGCGCCATTGTGCCCTCCCCGTCTTCCCTCTCTTCCCAGTTCTCCATCAGGTAATTTCTTTTTTCTCAGACTCCTATAATCTCTCTTGATGTGTCAAGCTGAGTCAGAAATAGCTAAGTCTGACCCATGACATTTCTATTTCTTTAGTGTCTTTTTCAGTTTCTTTTCCCTGCATATAGTAGCAATTGCAGACAGTATATGGACAGGACATGAGCTGACAGCTGAAGCAAGGTGCTTAGGTGTGGGAAATGAGATTTAAGTAGGTCTGATAAGCAAGCAAAAATGCAGGTAGTTAGGAAGCATGTAATGTGCCCGAGCAAGGTAAGTGCCTCCAGATTACATATGTGCTTTGTGAACTGCATGTTAAGACCCGCTGCCACGCTTGCTGCCTTCTGTCCACGTTTAGTCCAGGGACTAGATGTGCAAGGGAGCAGTACTGCACTCAGATCTCTAACTGTGCTGAGTGCTGCCTCTGGATCCAACCAGGGAAGACCATGTGTGCCATGCAGGGTGGCTCTGCACCATGCCACTTTCCCTTATAGACATATCCTGATTCCAAGGCTGTAGTGTCACCCCTTCCCACTCGCCCCACACTGAGTGCCAGCTCGTTGGCCTAATGCGCTGTTCTTCGGTTTCTCCAAAGCTGAATTCAGGTTGCTAAATTTACAGAGACAGAGTAAATGCTTTTATGTTGTGGTCTGGAAACTGTAATGCAACAGCAATAAAGCAGAGGATCAGAATTCTGAAGTAAACTCAAAACCAGGGTTTGGCAGGATTTGAGATCTAGTACTTCGACTCATATCCATATTTAAATGAATTTGGATGGCTGGCCTGCATGTTGGAGTTTACTTCAACATATCAGCGTCTCCAACTTTGCCTCCTCTGGGATTAGTCCCATGCCAAAATTAAACACATCTAGCATGCCTTCCAACCACTGTAATATCCAACAGAAAATGAAGCAAGAAAAAGCAATCCCCAAACTTACCAGTACACCATTACAAGCCGTAAACATTACACAGTAATTTCATCTACCCTCAACCCAACAGACCTGAGCTGTTACTCTGCAGTGGGAAGAGGAGTGGACAGAAACCCTGTCTGAGAAGAACCCTCAGATGAGGTCACTAGTATCTGAGCTTGCATGAAGTGCAAACTGTGCTGACTCCTAAGCAAAGAGATCTATAGAATAGCAAATCTTTGTTCACATCTCTAATTATGAGAATAGAGATGGAAATTTCAGAATGACAGGCCATTCTACCTTGTGCAAATAAATGCTGGAAATAGTTTTGCAGGGTAAAAAGGAGCTATTCAAAAAGTTCCACTTCCTGAACATCAAGCCATGTTCCTGAAAGCTTGATAGACCTGGTCTATAGGTGTCACTACTTTTTTACTGTGCACTCTTCAGGGGTTCACTCAACCATGCAAACCCCAAACTCTGTGTGGCTAGCAAGGATTGTTCCAGTATGACTTTCTACACTGAACTCTGTAAGGTTCAGCTCACATGTGGAACACAAGAAAACCTGCAGTACTTCTTTACAGCCTAAATATAATAGGGTAGAGTGAGGCTGAGATACTTGAAATTGTTCATGTTGATGGTAAGAGAAGAAATGAACTCAAATTGATAAACCAAAGCTGGAGACCGTTATGGGGAAACATTTCCTGGTGAAATAGCTAGACTATGAATATATCTCATGTGGAAGTAACTACCATAGAATCATAGAATCACAGAATGGTTTGGGTTGGCAGGGACCTTAAAGACCATCTAGTTCCAACCCCCCTGCCATGGGCAGGGACACCTTCCACTAGACCAGGTTGCTCAAAGCCTCATCCAGCCTGGCCTTGAACACTTCCAGGGATGGGGCATCCACAGCTTCTCTGGGCAACCTGTTCCAGTGCCTCACCACCCTCTCTGGAAAGAATTTCTTCCTGATATCCAATCTAAACCTCCTCACTTTCAATTTAATCACATTACCCCTTGTCCTGTCACTACAGGCCCTTGTAAAAAGTCCCCTCCCAGCTGTAATTATAGACGTTTCATAAGACTGTAGAATACTGTATGGTTAAATCCTTGCTTGCTCTGAACAGGGCAGGTGGTTTGCTATGAACATCCTATGACAAAAAGCTGCAAGCAGAGGAATCAGGGTGGACGCTGTGCATCATCACCGTGTTCTGTGATCTGCGCAGGGACTCAGTGTAGGACCAGCAGTCTACATGCAGGAATGAGGGCAAAATCGTATCAATTATGTGAAATTTAATTGTTACAATGGGAGCTGTCTGCATGTCCAAAGGAAGGGTAAGTCATTTTATCTCTGACAGTTTATCATCTCCCTCAGAAGAAAAAATTCAAAGGCAGTTCTCTGTGTACCAGCTCCCTTTAACAAAACTTTCCAACAAGAAAGAGATTCATGTAGCTGGCAAAAAGGACTTCCACTGAAGCATGTGAATTAAAACCTTGTAAGGAAGCAGACAGCATCTGACAGGAACACACTACACAACCCAGATACTGTCTAACTTTTCCTCAGGATAAAAAGACCTGCTTATCCCTCTTTGGGCCTATGTGTGTGGTTTAAATATGCCGCAATTAAAGCCACCTGACCTCCTGTAAATTAGAACTGCATTTACTGTATGAACTCCAGGGCTTCCAGGTCTCCCGTGCACTGTGCCTGCAGGACTTTCAGGGATCAGAAGCAAAGTAAGTCTGGCTCAGCCCAGATGGCAGCTCTGTGCAGGCAGCTCTCTGAGGAAAGAGATTTCCTCCTGTTTTTTTTTCCTGCAGAAGGCCTAGCTGAGGGAAAAAGCAACTCTGGACTTTGAAGGACACTGAAGTGTTAACACGCCATACCTCAAATCATGACTGTGGGGACTACATGTAATTTTCTAATCGCTGAATATCCAGGGCAGGATTAGAGGTATCAGTAATCTAAGGGAACTCAATGGAAAATCATTTTCTCTGCTGACATACAAGGTTGATTATCTCGCATGACCACGCCTTTAATTGAAGTCAGAGCTAACTTTTGTGCTAACTGCTACTAAGGCAGCTGGCACAAAGATGGGGATTTTTTGAGGTTTTTTGTTCTGTTTTCTGTGCTCCTGGAAATGAAAGATGAGTCAATTTACTAGCTGAGCCTTAGCTCTTACACAAAGGGGAGAGGTTGCTGTGGGTAGCAATGAGACTTACCTTACTCTCATGCCGCTGGTTTCAGAATAACTACTTTGTCTTGCCCTACGCAGGGGAGAGCAAAGATGGACTATACCAAAAACTACCGTCAATATTGCAAGAGTGCTTGCCAGCCACAGTGCTGAGCTGGCATCCACAATTTGAAGCATTTGAGCTTTGCAGTCATCTTTTTGCAAAATATACTGCTATTATACTTCCCATAGGGAAAATCATGCAAGTAGAGAAATTCCAAGTGATAGGGGTAAAAGGAAGCCTGCCTCTAATGTAAGGCAGCTTTTAGCATCCTCTAACCAGCTGGAGCTTCCTTCTATCACCCACTCATCTTCTAGATTACTAGCATTCCAGGTCTAAGGCGATACTTTATTACAGGTTTTATTACAGCACACCAGTACCTGCTATTTGCTTGAGCATGTAATGTGAAAAATAGCCTCTTACTAAGCTTATGTTGGCATAAGCAGTATGGTATAGTCCAACAGGAAGCACTTCTTGGCCAGGAGAGGGTAGAGCAAACCTGATCAGCGTCGCTATTTCTTTCTCAAACTGAAGGACTGATTTACAGCAGGACATTTATCTAACATTTACAACTTTTCCACAAAACACACCACAGTGTGGTTCATCTACCTAAATGCAAAGGAAAATCAAAGAACAGCCTGTAAAAAATGTCAGTAAACAAAATTAAATGCAGAACAGTCCTGCATTTTATAATAATGAAATTGCCTCCTTTCCATTTCATTCTGAAATAAATGTCATCATAAATATGCTCTTGGGGATGACAAAGATGATGTCTTAAAGAACGAAAAACTTTTTTCTCTGAGGAGAAGAATACTTCCACTTGATGCCAGAACTTTTAGACAAGGATTCTTTTCCAAGCATTCACACCAGCCTTGCAAACATCATTGTGCTTTGTACTGTTGTTTTGCTGCCAGATATCTCCATTTATGAAATAAACATCTCTCTTGATAGAAAAAACAACCTCCCATCATCAAAGCTATAATGGTACATACATAATAAGCCATTAGTTCTCAGCATAAGCACCACTGAAACCAATATAACTCGAATTGCACTAATGGGAGCAGCAGGCTTGATTCTCTGCTATTTTGGAACTGATATATTTCTTTCTTTGTGCACAGCGGATGCAATGTCTATAGAAGATATTTACAAACTTTTACAACCACTTTTTGATCACCCTGGAGAAGTGTCAAAGACTAAATAAAGAGTAAAACATGGGAAAATGAAACCAAAGTCTGTTTCTATTAGACACCATTCATCCATAAGAGTTTCTTCATGGTTTGCACCCATACTTATCAGCTTTACCCATGGGATCCAATAGATTGATCCAATGTCTATTAACTACTGTGGTTTTTGGACCAGAATCTTGCTCCATGCAGAGCTGAAGGCTGCGCTATTAACATGGGGATTTGTCTGATCAACACCACTTTTAACTCCTTTCACAGAGAACCCATTTAGTCAGCAACATAGTTAAAGCAGACTTGACAGCTACTTCAGTGCACCTTAGGAAACTGTCCTACAACTATCTTGTTATAGCTTTATCTTTCACGGCTCAGCAATAGAGAGGTATTTTCAAGTACCAAATATAAAGCCACAAAGGCAATTTATATCATTCCATTTCTTCCTATTGCTTAAGATATCCTACTACATCCAGCCTGTGTCTCCCCTTGTCTCTGTGTGCTGACAGAGCATGCGCTTGCTCCGCAACGAGCTGTTGCAATGCCATGATGGATGAGCAGCTGTTTGGCAAGACAACTCATCTCAGATCTGATGATGGCGAACAAGAAAAAATTGAGGCACTCGAATTACAGCATAAGATCAACTCAGAAAAAGGATCTGGGGAAAATGTTGATTTGTTGGTTCATTTTCTACTTTGCTCATAATATTTGATGTATCATTTATGCAGTGAAATGCATTACATCATCCAATGATTTCTCTTTTTTAATAATACTAGATGAAAGTTTAATTTAGTCTGTGAAATGCCACAATTAGTCAATTCACCTTTCATTTTCCAGCATCTATTCTTCTTAGTAAAAATTAAATTGGCATAAATATAGTCTAATAACAATCAGTATCAATTTTTATCAGTTCTGCTATGTTTCCATCTGCAGGAAAACCCTCTCAAAGCTCATCTTTACTGCTGATAGAATTCCACCAGCCTCCTTTTGCAATCAGCAGTTAAAGTCCATATCTGTTCTTGTACTTAGAAAGGTTGAGACCCTATCAGAAAAGTTTGCAAACTAAACCTTCGATTCTGAAATCGAATCCATCCAGTTGAATATTTCTATAAATTTAGTGTGCAAATATTCTTACATGGATGTAGTTACTGAACTATGCCTTTTTTAAGACCAATTATTATACGGTATGAGAGGAATTGATAAGGGTACACATGAACATTATATTAAACCACTCACCCTTTCTAATTAATGTAAAGAGAACAAAACAACATCTTGTTTCCATTGGTGGTTTCTTGTTATTACACATCTCTCAGAATTACTACACAAGTTTTCTTTTTTTTCTTGAAGCCAGAGATCTATAGTGCACCATACTATTTACAAATATTTTCATATGGTAACAGATTATCTTTTTCTTTCACAGGTAAGAATTTTCAACAGATGTCTGTAGACCAACCCAAAATAAAAAATCTTACTCCTCTACGGAAAAGCCTAGCTCCCATACCCAACCACTGTGCTCACAAAAGTAAGTACAGGCAAGTCTCAGCTACGGTATCATACTGTGTGCCTCCATCACTGGCATCTGAGACCCTGCGAGAGGTTTCATGTTCCTTTTTCACAGCATCATAGAATGGCTGAAGTTGGAAGGCACCTTTGAAACTGTCTAATCCAACCTCCTGCCCATAGGGAGGTCGTCTACAGCAGGTAGCTCAGGATCACACCCATTTAGGTTTTAAATACCTCTAAGGATGGGGATTACAACTGCTCTGGACAACCTGTTCCAGTGTTTGACCACACTCAGAGTAAAAAGTTTATTCTTAATTATTTGTGCCTATTGACTTTATTCCCTTCACAAGACACCACTGAGAAGAGTCTGGCTCTGTCTTCATTACTCCCCCCAGTCAGGCATTTATCTGAAACCCTGAGCTGCCTTAGCTTCTCATGGCTGAAGAGTCACAGCCTCCTTTCTGAGGTTGGACACTCAATCCCTTAATCGCCTCCATTCCCCTTTGCTGGACTTGCTTCAGTATGTCCCTGTCTCTCTTGTTCTGGGGGCCCCAGAACTGGACACAGCACTCCAGGTGTGTCTCACCAGGGTTGAGTAGTGGGGAAGGATTACCTCCCACAGTCTGCTGGCAAAGCTTTTCCTAATGGAGTCCTGGATGCTGTCGGCTATCTTGACCCCCAAGGGCACATTGCCAACAAATGTGCAGCTTGAGGTCTATCAGGGCCCCCAGCTGCATTTCTGACAAGCTCCTTTTCAGCTGTTTGATCCTTAGCACATATTGGTGCAGGGAGTTATTCCTCCCCAGGTGTGGGATTTCTCAGCTGCAGGACTTCCCAGGTGTAGGATTTCCCTCAGCAAGTTAGCCAATAACACCAAGCCGTGTGACGCGGTTGACACACTGGAGGGAAGGGATGCCATCCAGAGGGACCTGGACAGGCTGGAGGGGTGGGCCACTGCCAACCTCATGGGGTTCAACAAGGCCAAGTGCAAGGTCCTGCCCCTGGGTTGGGGCAATCCCAAGCGGGGAGAGTGGATAGAGAGCAGCGCCGAGGAGAAGGACTTGGGGGTACTGGGGGATGAAAAGCTGGACATGAGCCGACAGTGTGCGCTAGCAGCCCAGAAAGCCAACCATATCCCAGGTTCTATCCATAGAAGCGTGGTCAGTAGGTGAAGGGAGGGGATTCTCCCCCTCTACTCTGCTCTCATGAGACCACACCTAGAGTACTGCATCCAGATCTGGGGACCTTAGCACAAGGAAAGCATGGATGTGTTGGTGCAGGTCCAGAGGCGGTCCACGAAGATGATCAGAGCGCTGGAGAACCTCTGCTATGAAGGAAGACTGAGAGAGTTGGGCTTGTTCAGCCTGGAGAAGAGAAGGCTCCGGGGAGACCTTATAGCACCTTCCAGTACCTGAAGGGGCTACAAGGAAGCTGAAGGGGGACTTTTTACAAGGGCCTGTAGTGACAGGACAAGGGGTAACAGGTTTGAATTGAAAACAGGGAGGTTTAGATTGGACATCAGGAAGAAATTCTTCCTGGAGAGGGTGGTGAGGCACTGGAACAGGTTGCCCAGAGAAGCTGTGGATGCCCCATCCCTGGAAGTGTTCAAGGCCAGGCTGGATGAGGCTTTGAGCAACCTGGTCTAGTGGAAGGTGTCCCTGCCCATGGCAGGGGGATTGGAACTAGATAGTCTTTATGGTCCCTTCCAACCCAAACCATTCTGTGATTTTGCATTTCCCTTTGTAAGAGTCTTGTCCCTCCATTTCTCCAGCCTGTCAAGGTCTCTCTGAATGGCAGCGTACCGATCTGCTGTATCAGCCACTCCTCACAGTCTCGTATCATTTGCAAAGTTGCAGAAGTAGCAACCTGACCCATTGTCCACGTCACTAACAAAGGCATTAAATAGTATTAGCCCCAGCATCAACTCCAGGGACATTCTACTCGTGACTGGCCTACCTCCAGCTGGACTTTGTGCTGCTGATCACAACTTCTTTTCCAATGAGTTTCAAAATGTTGGCCTAGTAGAAGCGATGTACATCAATATAGAGGAGAGTTTGGTTCTACATTTGTTTTCCAGACAAGAGGTGCCTGGAATCATCACAGACATGAGATTTTTTTCACTCTTGGTTTCACTCTCACTTTCATTCTCAATTGCTTATGCCTGTATGACTCTGGTAGCTTTTCACTGGGGGCAGGACATGATGTAACATGGTGACTTACAGGATGTAAAGAGGTGGATGACAACACCCTAATGACTGCATGGCAGAGAAAGTTTGGATATGTGAGATGAAAGCCCGTATAAGGAATGACTCTTCTGCTGACAACATGAAAAATATCATGATACTGAATTTTGTGTCCTTTTGCTAGCAAAAATTAAAGGGAAGAGGATTAGAACAAGATCATCAGGCTTCCAAATACTTTGTCATTTTCTGAATGCTACATAGACAAATGATGTTTTATCTCTCTGTCTGTCTTAAGCACAGCAGACAGACTAGCTGTTACAGAAAATAGACTAGCTTTTACAAGAGGGTGGGAACCATTCACTTCTCCCATCCTAACAGCAAGTTGTTTGGGTAGCTTCTGTAAATCAGGAGCCAAAATAAAGGGATTGAGAGAGCAGCAGCCTTTTTTTCCACTGCATTTTCAGCCAGCTCCTAATTCCCAAGGCAGTGAGAAGCAAGATCCCGAAAGGCAGGGAAAGCCTTACCCCACAGCCCTGGCAGAGTGTCAAGACTTAGTAAGTGTCCCAGGCTGGATCCAGACAGCAACTGGGGTGTTCTTCACATGCAAACATTAGCCCTACTTCCATCAGTGTCCTGCCCTCACATTCTTGTGCACCACCAGGCGCAAATCATCCAGTGTATTTTGGATGAAGATTTGCAGCTTCCTGTTTGTCAACCTGCAGATTCCCCAGGTCCTAAAGCATTCACATTTCAGAGCTAAATTTAAGATTCATTGCCTCTTATGATCTGAGTTTCAGAAGCAATTCTGCAACTATAACAATATTACTAAAAACGAAACAGCAGAGGTAGCTTTATAGGGAACACCAGATTGGGTAGAGGAAATACAGAATCCTGCACTGCTGCTGCACAGTAAGTAAGAGAGGAAGAAGAAAAGTAGAGATATGTGGAATACTGAGGTGGTATTCTCTGTCTGCTCAGAGTAAAGAAAACAATCTAACTGCTTTCAGAATGCCAGCTCCAAGTCTTCTATTTTTAAGCTTTCTACTAATGCCCTCTGTGTCTTCTAGGTAAAACATAGTTGTAAGCAAAATCTTTTTAAAATTATTTCATAATCACTTGGGTGTTCTTGCAGCAATTCATGCAAACAGCCAGCATTTTAGTTCTAGTCTCATGGCAAAAACTGTATTTTACAAATAAGATAAAATTATCACAGTTAATAATCATGGTGTAATTAACTAACACATTACAATTATCCAGGTGCCATTATTGCTTGAACATCAGTTCAAGCTGAAAACAGAAAAGCCAAGTTATTTGCAAAATGGATTACATTTCTTCTTTGTTAACAGAAATGACACATTTGATTCCAAAGCTTTCCAAATAACTGTTTCAGAGCCAAGATTTCACTCATTCTCCAGTCAGCCCTAAAAATATTACTGTTCTGGACATAGCTTTTATTCAGGCAAATGGCTCCTGAAACAAAATTAAATATAAACATTTGTGTTTCTCTAATATTTTTGTTACACAAGGTGTATATTAGAAACATGCAACAAAGTTAGTGAGGAAAAAAAGCAACCAGGGAGCTAAAACAATAAAATAAGCATAAATTAGAAAGAGAACTGAAACTACTCAGATTAACAGAAAGAAGAAACATCTCCCAAAAAAGGAAGGGGAATGAAAAAAAAGGAAGAGATGCTTTAATCTCTAAGCAAAAAATATTTAAAAATACAAGTTAGAACAATAGGAATGACAGTAGCATAGGAGAAGAGTACTTTATTGGCTTTAAACCATGGTTTATAAACTCCTATCCTCCATATGTTCCTAGGGCCAAAGAGGTCCTTCCCATGGTTTCCTGAGTAGCCTAAGCACTGTCTGGCAGCAATCTTACGCTGCATGCTCCTGCTCAACCCGCAGCACATTCTTTGCATCTCATCACGTGACTCTCCCAAGGAGCCCTGGAAAACAATCTTAGAACTATCACACACCGCTCACACAATACCAGAACAATTTTCTAAAAAAATATGGGACTTCTAGAGAACTCTCTGCTGCTCTCACTTCTTCATGTGCCTTAGAAGGTTGAAGCCATACTGTGGATATTACTTGTTGAGCAACAACAACAACAAAAAAAGGTCTATTTCTGTAGGCCATTTAACAATATTTTCTGGTGATCAGTGGTTGTTTTTGTTGTTATTCATCATGATTCAAAGTTTCCTCTTTCCCAAGTTAATAGCAAAAATTCTACAAAGCAACCTTCTCTCTGCAGAAGACCACCATGGCTTGCAAAAAGCAGCGTCTAAAGAGTCCTCCCTTCTACATACTCCTTGGCCAATGCCTCCTTGACAGCCTTATTTTTGCCTCTGCAGGTTGTAATAGCAGCCACTTGAGTGTCATGAGTCAAAAAAGCTCGCTGAATCAGTAGCTCTTATTGTGTCACTAGGTCTGCAGTAGCTGACTCTGCCCTCTGAACGTGAATAATTAACAGTGCTTCTGCTGTGTATCGATTCTGGACATATGGAAACCAGCCTTAAGGGTTCTGTCTCATAGACCTCAGTGCTGGGTTCAGGGTGTTTCAACACATATACTAACACCAGTCATTATAGGTATTATTTCAAAGCCATCCATGTATGAGTCCTGAAGTCCTTATCAAATATCCTAAATAGTATGTAGGACTTGTTGGAAAGTAATTGTTGTTTGGATTCTGTTTTTTACTTCTTGGGGTGAGCATGGGTTTGTGATGGCTGCCCAGTCATGGGGGTGAAGTTAAACCCGTCAGTAAGGTCTTTATTAGTACATGCAGTGTTCTGGGGATATTTTACCAAGGTGTAAACTTTGAATGCATGAACATATGCCTATGCTCCAAAGAGGGAAACAAGTGAGCCTCTCAATATGCACTTGGTTTACTCACCAAACGTTTAATGAACTCAAAACATTCCATCATGTGCCAGAAAACAAATGGGCTCATTTATTGTATTTAGCCCTGCTTGATTCACACATATTCAATATGAGCTAAAGCAAAGTATTAATGGTTTGGGGTTTTTTAATGGAAAGGAGAACTAAGCAATTTCCTGAAGTTGTGAACATGAATGAACCTTGAATATGACCCTACATTGCCAAAGGCCAGGCAGCACTAGTAAATGCTGCCTGCTCAGGCCATCACAACTTGAATGGTACTGAAATAAAAAACCAACAAACATATCAATTTTTTAAATCCTCTCTCTAAAGATTCTGCTTTGCCCCAGATAGATACCTGGTGAATCTTTGGGGAATTACTGCTCCTGATAAATAATGAATGATGAAATAAGTATACAGCATGTGGTACAGGGCAACGTGACAAGGAGAACTTCAGCCTCTTTTCACAACGTATAAAGTAAAAAAATGCATAGATGCAAAGCTCTGCCAGTACCCACTGCAGACATTAGAGAGGTAACATTTGTTTTCAACAGAGTAGATATCAACCTATTAATTAATCTACAGGCATGGAAGGGCTTGCATGACAAAACTGGTGTGCTTTTGCTTTGCCAAGGCCCAGAAGCCGCAGGGTTTCTGCCTGAAGTTCTTCAGTACATGTCCAACTCAGGCACAGTCTGTCTCCTCAGTTACCTGCAGGACTGTTACTCCCCAGCCAGCTATTCCCCATCTTATGTCTGGACTTCTGGTAGTTTGGGATTTCTTTGTTTGTTTGTTTATCCTAAGCGTAGTGGTTTGCATTTGCCTTTGCCAAGCTTCATTATGTGAATTTTCTACTGTTTCTCTAATTTATCAAGGTCATTTCGCAGCGTAAACCTATTCTCTGGGAATTAACACCTTGGGTGCTTTTCTTCTATCAAGTGTTGGTCCATATTATAGTAATGGATCTACTTTTTTTTAATGAAAATTTGAGATGAACTTAGTAATCCTATCTTACTAAAACTACATAATGTCTCACTTCTCCTGCATCTACTCCACCAGTGAACCAGTTATTCTTTTTGATGTTGCTTGATGAATAGTGAGAAGGCAAACTTCATTAGTTCAAAGATTCACTTCTGAGAAATAACAGCTGTTAGGAGAACTTTGGGTATTTAGGATTTTTTAGGTTAGGTTAACCAACTTGAAACTCCTTAAGTCCTCTCTTCTTGTATCTTTATTCTACAGCCCTCAAGAAACTCCATCCACTATTCTACCTATGAGTCCTCAAGTGTACTGATTGTTTAGTTTGGTTTGGGGATTTTTTCTAATATCAAATTTGACTTGTAAGGTCCAGATAATCACAGGTGCATTGACTGCAGTAGTTACTCAGTTCATACCCATTGATTATGTGGTCTGTTATTTCTAATTAAAATTAATTTGTTTATCAGTTTATCCTCCATTAAAACAGTCCAAATCTAGATTAACTTCAGATGTTTCTCTGGAATTACTCAAGATTATAATTGGTTTGAGAGAAAACACTCTCCTCCATTCCTCATTTCTGAAGAATTTCCCTGAACCTGCATCAGCAAAATTTCTGTCAAATTATGAAACAAGAATAATCAAAGGGGCTGCCAGGAAAAATGCAAACATGAACACTCAGGTTTTCATTGGAGTTGAGTAGGAAATGGAATGATAATGACAGGCTGAGATGGACACCTTTTGAGCAGAATACTTTATGGCAGGATTCTTCCTGCATGTAAAGAACAGGACACAAGCATGACACCACCCTGAGAACAACTGGTTGTCTCAGAGAATGGCTTTTAACACCTGACCACTGGGAAGCATTTGTGGTTAGTTTCCAAGGATGAAGCCAGCAAAACAGAGAATGCAACTAACCTTCTGGAGGCTGCCATGACTTGTAAGATGAAAGTCAAACTAGAATTCTCCTTTTAAAAAAATAGAAAATTAATTGGTAAGTTGTCTGAATGAAGGAGGTTGAGGTTTTCAATTCAGAGAAGATACAGAAAAGAACTATATTAACTTTAAAGCACAAACACTGTTACACTGCTGAGTGTGAGATGCAGATTAAGGATGATCTAAATCCACAGTTTCTTACAAGAGTGCTGATAGACATGAGATAAAACAGCTGTGGATCTTGTGTTTCATTGTGGGTCTTGGTGTGCTACAGGGTAACAGGCCACTTCTATGGTCTGTGACTTGTAGACCACATGTGGACCTATCTTCATGACTGATCGTACCTAGTACAACCCAGACACAGTATCCCATATTCACCTTTCTAAGATTTCGATCAGAATTTACCCTGGGTAATACAACATCCTTCCACAAAGCTTTTGTTAATAATAATATATCCCCATGGAACCTTTCTGTTTCAGTCAGCCTGTGGGTTTTGATGAAAAAATGTCTTGTGGAAATCCCTCTTAAACAGACAAAATTTCTTTCAGACAAACTACGCATTCTCTGCTTGTTGAAAGTAGACCTTCGAACTTATCAAGTCTTAAGGATCACCAAACACAAAGTAATTTGCTTCACACTGTGTAGTTTTCCATAGTTGAAGATTAGCCCTGCCAGACTTTAGCATTTTGCAAATGCAGGTTTTAGTACACACAACACAAACAAACAACAGTTCAAAGAAAGTAGCAAACTCATTTGTAAAAATGTTGTACTTTTCACTTTCTGTGCACTCTTCCTCTCTTTTTCTTTTCCCTCTAGCTCAGCTACCATCTCAGGGTGCTAAGAAGTTTAAGTCCCTGCCTTTAAGTTCCCTATGGACTGATGCTGTTATTCTCCCACCAGCCCCAACCTCCAGATCCCAGAAAAGGGGACATTCTCAGAGTCATTTGCTCTATTCTCTCTTGCCTGGCCTATCAGGAGAGCCTCTGAAACCAAGTCGTGTCCTGCCTGCTATCCCAAGCCAGAAGAAATCTAACGCTGCAGAAGAGCTTGAGAAACCTCTCACCAAACCAGACACGGAAAATTAACTTATTACACTGGCCTCGGTCAGTTGAAATATATCTAGGAGCTTGTTACAAGACAACTGTACAGTAAAATCTCATTAATTTGCACTAATGATGCTCTTGTGCACTGCAGTGTAAATGGACAAAAAGAACGGTAGCACATCACAAAAGCTGCACTGTGTATTTATATGTGTACTTTATGTTTTCATTATAATTTTCATTTATGATGAAATTGCTAAATAATATTTAATGTGCTGTAAAGCTATTTTGTGCATGAAATCCTCATAACATGCAATCTTGTTGCAGCAATGTGCTGTTAAGCCTTTCAGAGAAAACAGGAACAAAGAGTAAGATTTTCTGTGTGATTTATAAGTCAGAATTAGGGAAACATAAATTGACAGGGATTCTCTGTAGTTTGTAAATGCAAAGGTGCTGATTCTCAGGCTATGTGCCATCAAAAATACCTTTTTAAGATTTAAAGAATAAGCTCAAAGTAAAAGACAGTTTTAGCAAATGAGGGTGTTTGGCTCTGTTTTTCACATATTTCCTACGTTGTAAGTTTTGTGATGTCAACAAGCTAAAAAATTACAAGGAAATGCTAATCCCTGTTGGACAGACAGCACACACTGTTCAAAACCATTCATAGCACTGACAGATTTATGTCTCTTTCGTTTAATTCTTCGTATTCCTCAATAACAAAAATATAATTACAGATTGTTATTTTCATAAAACAAGGATTTCACAGTCCTGAGTTACTATGCATTATTTCGTCACTCTGATCACCGAACTGAAGAAGGAAATCTAACGAGACTCTTGTTCAGTCAAGAGCCCTGGCAAGTGCTGTAAGCCTTTGACTAAACATTTCACAAGACTGTCCTTTCCTAGAGGCCAACAAAACCAGCAATCTCTGCTTGCTTTGGGATTCTTATCTAACTGAATCTTGCTGCTACTAGTCTGCAGGCTTCCCCACTTCTGATTACCTAGAGGCTGTGGGCATTACTTTGGGCAGGGGGAGGGTCCCCTTTCGTCACCCCTTCTGTATCACCACTGCTAGTAAACCCGTCTTGCATTAGCTCTACATCAGCAGCTCGTTCAACCAGGACATGGCGTTTCTGTTTATCTCTAGATAAATGTTTTATTAGCTGTACAAACATTTCTTTTGCTGTGTCACAGTAAAAGACAAACCTGACATGAAAGAGAAGATAATCACGTCCCAGTAGCCCAGTAGCTGCAGTTTCCAATTTCCTTGCAGTAATGACTAGATAGAATGATGGCTGGTGTCTGTCACAGACAGCCCTCAGAAAGAAAAAAGCAGAGCACAACAACAGCTGCTCTGACGTAACACAAGGAAGAAGGAACTTTTGCCACACAAATAGAAGAATATTTCATTTTTAAACATCTAATCCAAATGTCAGGGTATAAATCTCAAATTCAACAAGTGATGTAAACCTCTAGCTTCCCGCTGAAATCCATGAGAGTAAAAAGCTCATGTGCTTGAGCCTGACAGGCAATCTAGTCCCTGAGGCTAGACGGAAAAAATACTGCACGATAGCAGCATGCTCTGTTGAAGGAAAAATCAATTCTGGAATACTCTGTCTTTTCACCTGACCAATCCTGCTCAGTCCAGCCTCACTGGAAATCCAGAGTACCTCCCACAGTGTAGTAGACTGGTATTTGTTCCAGAGGGTCACTGCCTGAGCTGCTCTGCTCTGCAGAACCACAAAGCTTCTCTGCCCTAGAACTCTACCAGTTGCCACCCCCAGTTCTCCATCTTGACTCCAGCCCTTTTGTACCTCTCCCTCTGGCCCCGCACAGGAGTCAGGTGGTTCGTAAGTCAGTCCCTAGAAATATTCAAGCCACAGTGCAGACCTTAAACCACTATCAAATGACACAAAGCAGATGGTGTTGGTACAGGCTGCAGAGAGGAGAAGGAAAAACTGATTCAGACATCTCTGGCTGGCAGCGAATAACATTTATATTAAGCCTAAGTGTCACTGTAGACATTACAAGAATGAGGTTTGTGTTTGCACAGTGAAAGCTCAAAGTAACGATTCTGACAGAGATCAGTTATCTTCAATTTAACATACTGCTTGGGAATGGGTACAGTTTGTGGAAGGAAGAGAAGACCAAATGGCACAGCAAGGAAATCTCAGTGAGGTCAAATGTTTGTAACTCCATCACCACTCTAGCCCTTTTGAGTGGGTGAGAAAAACGAGTGTTTTGCCATCAACTGAGATGCCTCAAAAGAACCAGGTCATGGGCTGCAACTCCATTTTTTTACTGAGCAGAAGAGGATCTTCATTGGTATTACTGGCTTTGAGAGAGGGGATGAATCTCTCTCAGCTCTTGTGTTAACCCTGCCTGTCCGGGGACCAGGAGAGTCCCGGGCTGCATAATGGCAATCGAATAAAAGCTGTGGTGGCACCCATTTGTTTGCCAGCTGTGGTTTCATACAGGAGACAAACATACAGGAGCAGTCTGTGTGGGCTTCCCATAGAGGCTTGAACAGATTTCAAATGTTTCCACTACTACAGCAAGAGAGAAACAGAGAGACCCTCGTGTCTTAGGGTAGATACTTCCATTCCCAGAAAAGAAGTAATCAGCTTTCTGCTTTTCCTGTTTTTTCTTTGTTAGTGCAGCATGGGTGGACAAAGCTGAATAATGAAAATTTTTTGATCAAAGGTCTTTCAAATTAAATTCCTTCAAAAATACAGAATTTCAGGTGCAGTCACTTGAAGCTGGAAACACATATTACCACTGCTTCCTCTCTACACACTCAGTTTGTGTCACAGAAGACACCTGCTAGCTAATTTTTTCCTATCATTTTCCCCTTTTTTCCTTATCTTTTTCTAGGAAGGAATGTTTTTTCCCTGGGCCTCCAACCCAGGAAACAGTCTTTTTCAGGAAAGGAATGCAAATACAATCGCCTGTTCAAGGGTAAGCATAGAATACAATATTTAACTGAACAGAGACTATCTTAAATGCATGGTAATCTGAATTAAGATCAATGTCACTTTTCTAATGTGTTTTTTTCTGTAGACTGTCAATAAAGAAATATTTCACAATTTACCAAATATAGATCTTTTAAAAATTAATGCTTATAGAAAGCATTAAAAATTATTCTCAGAAATGTTCCCACCAGGAACTATTCTTATCTGTCGGGTGTGATAACCAAACCCCACAGTAAATAAGTCAAATTAAGTTGAAGTCTTTCACCTTCAGAGGAGAGCAGACTGTTGACTGCAGTGTACTGCATGAGAGACAACAGATGAACCAATACCTACTTAAGCACACTGACCTCTTGCTCAGACCTTTCCTGGAAGATAATGGCAGGGGAGACAATAAAAGGCAAACACAGTTGATTAGCAATTGCCAAGAAATGTCTGGTCAGTAGGTCATGACAGAGATTTTTTTTCCTCTGTCCAGTGATTAAATGTCTCTCACACATTCTTATGTGGCACTAGTTGAGTGTTAACTCATAGAGTGTTGCAGTACTCGGATGTCTGAGGAGTTTGGCTTGGCACAGAGAGCTAAGAAAATATAAATACATACAGGATACATTTTCTGAGCAAAACACAATATACTTTCTCACTGGAACACTCTCCACATTCCATATATCATTCTTATGAACAGAATTTGAAAATGCTTTTTAAAATGATGCAGCCTTTATTCCACTGGACCATTTACTTACAGATTGATACTGCATGGAGTGGTCCACCTTCCAGTAAACTTCAGGAGGTTAGCATTAGTCCATTATTTAAAACAGAGAAAAACATTCATATGTAACACAAAGGATCATCCAGTATTATGGACATCTTTCAAAGGCTATTTGATTTATGAGCAGAGTATCTGATAAGCAGGCTAATTTTAATGGTTCGGGTTGGAAGGGACCTTAAAGACCATCTAGTTCCAACCCCCCTGCCATGGGCAGGGACACCTTCCACTAGAACCAGGTTGCTCAAAGCCTCATCCAGCCTGGCCTTGAACATTTCCAGGGATGAGACATCCACAGCTTCTCTGGGCAATCTGTTATTATCTTGCATAAATACTTAAAGAGGAAATTATATCCTCTAAAATTCAGTCCTAATAAAGCATTTGAAACACCCCTACCACTGCCAAAGGTGGAGACCTCTGTCCCTTCACCCCAAATACATTCCATTCCTCTACCATCACCGAAGAGGAGTCTGCACAATCCATACGTTTTTCCAATGCAAAACACCGGCAGCATCACAGTGACAACTTCGGGACATAAAAACTTTTCAAACAATTCTAACAGGGCTGTAAGAGCTCATCTGATCATACTGTTGTCATGAGTCATCAGACCTGTTGCTCTGCATCTGCATTATAATAATGATTTAGAAGAAGACAGAAGCACTGAAAGTATACATTAGTTGCCTTTGTATTTTATAAGTGGAATTTTTCTCTCATTATTTTCATAGGATTTTCCCATGCTGCACAGTTTCAGAGAAAACAAAGATTTTCCCGTGCTGTCCCTATTGGTGGAAAAGCTCAGCATTACAACAGAGGCAGTTTAGACCAGAGGTTGTCAGGTATCCAGCATCAAAGCCATCTTTTAGCAAGAGCAGCGAGTAGTACTTGATGTGAAACAGTTGACACAGAGCCAAGAAATAAAGTCCAGGCCCATCGGGACCCCGAAGTCCAAGAGTTCCCTCCCTGCCAGCCAAGACTGCCAAAGGTCTGCAGACACCAACATGGTACAGCCTCCTGCAGTAACTTTGCATTCCCCATCTCACTGTTGGTGTTTCTCTAGGGTACTTGGCATCATGCTGTGATGTTCTGCTGCTGTGCAAACATCAGGAAGAACCTGCAGAGTCAAGACGGTGTTCACACCTGTCTAAGAGGAGTACTTGCCTCTGTGCACATGTGTCTTCCTGCACCATTGTGCATGTTTCTGTGCTCAGCATGTGGGAGCTTTGGAAGAAGGATGTGGTGGAGTTCCTTGTATGACACAGGAGCAGACTGAAACTGTCTGAACCCATAAGTACACCAAGAAAATGCTCAGT